GGCGGGCTGCGGGGCCGCCGAGCCGAGCGCTGCGCTCTCGCCCAGGTGAGGAGCGCGGAGGGGGAGGCGGTGGACGAGGAGGACCCCAGCCTGCAGCCGTGCGCGGCCAAGAAGGTGAAGCTGGAGCTGAAGGAGAGGAAGGAGAAGAAGCACAAAGTGGACGAGGACGAGATCCAGAAGATGCAGTGAGTACCGGGGCGCCGGGCAGCAGCGCCTGGGAAGGCTGGGGCTCGGGAGGGCACCGGACACCGCGTGGGGTTTGCCGCTGGGAACCGTGCAACAGGCGTTTAATCGGTTTATGAGCCCGTGGTTAACGATGTCCGTAGCTCCGTCCCAGATCCCTCCCCTCCCGAATGGGCCCAGCACTGCTGGAGCACCATCTTCCCCTTCCCGGCTCTGTTTTGTACTGCAGGAGGCTTAGGATGGTAGAAGGGCTTTGCAGGACTGTTGCAGTGGCCTGAAGAGCTTCAGACTTTTATTTTTGCTGTAAATGATCAATTCTCTCCACTCAAGGATACTGGTCTCTTCCTTTTCTGAAGAACAGTTGAACCGTTACGAGATGTATCGCCGGTCTGCTTTCCCCAAAGCTGCTATTAAACGGGTACGACTTCAATAATGCCTCACCACAGAAGGAGTCTGAGCGGAACAAGCAGGCTGAGCCTTACTAAGCCTGGCTGCGGTCACGTCTAGGCCTCACAGGACACAAGCTGGCTCTGTGTCTTGGCCCCTGTGGCTGAGACCATTGTCCTCAGATCAGTTTATCCCATCGTGTTCTAGCTCAGTGCCCTTTATGCAGTTTAAATAACGGTGGTCTGGGGGGGCCATGAGGCAACGGGAAAAAGTAATTACTGGTACAGGGTCCGCAGCTGAATGAGGGTAAGCTAGAACCTTGACAGCCAGCGCGTGCCCAAAGCTATAGGACCTAATTCTAAAGATCAGTTACTGCTGTTCTATGCATTTCATTAGCTGTTGATTGATATTTGACATGCTCAAACTGCTAAATATGAGTTTAAATGTTTCACTGTCGCTGTGTGTACCTCGCCCAGCTGACTGTCGGTCTCTCTTGCGCAGCTGATCCAGTCCATCACCGGCACCTCTGTCTCTCAGAACGTGGTCATCGCCATGTCCGGCATTTCCAAGGTCTTTGTTGGGGAGGTGGTGGAGGAAGGTGAGTGGCAAATGTTGAGTCAAAAGTTAAGAATGGGGTAAATTCATTGCTTAAAGCAGAGCAGAAGGACATGGAACAAGACTGGACACTTTCGGTTCCCAGACTTGCTGCCCCGTGGGGCCCTCTGACCTCCCAGCAGCAGCAGAACGCCACAGCTAAGCCAAGAGAGGGGTGAAGGGTGGTGTTGCCCATAGTCCTCTCTAATCCTATCAGTATCGCTGCCTGTGAGTCAGCAGAGGTTGGTGACCACTGACCTCCTGTTTTATCCTCTCTAAGGGGTACAAATTAGAGGTTCTTGCCCTGTGAGCAGGCTGCAATGGGGCAGTAAGGATCTTCTGTTAAATACTGCTGTGGATGAATTCAGCCCAGAGGGAAATGAGTTATTTAAGCCTCTTAACCCGTTAGATTCTTCCTTTATGGGATGAGCTGAGATCTTTTTGGAACACCAGGTGGGAGGCTGACCCATCTGTGTCCCTGCTGTGCTTGGGCTGGAGGAGGCGATACTGGTTTTGATGCCAACCAGTTCGTATAGGCTTGTCACAGAAAATGTGGCCTGTGTGTGTTGGGATCACCATTACCGGGGCGATGCAGCTTTACTGCTGCTGTCGCTGCAGTGCTGTGTTTTGCCTGAGGCGGTTTGGATAAGCAGCTTCACTGCTGTCGTTAATTGCTTCGTGTCCTTGGCAGGAGGTGTGAATGATACTTACTGTAAATGATAGAAAAGAAACTGGCCCGTAAGTCCACTGTAGGTTGTACCTTCCTGTCACTGCTGTACACAACCACCCCAAACACACCACCCACCCTAGGGGTGCCTTTAGAGCAGAAGGTTTAAGATTGTAAATTCTTGCATGACTCAAACCACCATATTCCACAGTAGCTGGAGCGGTTTAAAAAGCAGTTTATTCCCCAGATGTCCCCAGGACTGACTTCTCTTTCGGACAAAGAGAAGCACACAAAGCGGTTTCATTTTTGTGTATTAACAAAATGTGAGCTGTAAACCCTGGATGAAAATGTTATGTGTTGCCTTTAAAACTAAAGCTCAAACAGCAGCAGGCTGGCTAAGCTGAGCTGTCCTGCTCACGTGAACTCCTTGGTTGTTGTTGTTTAGCTCTGGACGTGTGTGAGAAGTGGGGGGAGCTGCCACCTCTGCAGCCCAAACACATGCGAGAGGCGGTCAGGAGGCTCAAGTCACGAGGACAGATCCCCAATTCCAAATATAAAAAGATCATCTTCCACTGAAGTGTCCCGAGAGCAGCCAGAGAAGACAGAAGTTAAAACAAGCTTCCTGTTGTGAACCTCACAAGTTACAGCAGAGCTACGAGACTGAAGCTCCTTCAGGAGTGTTGTGTGTAGACTTAAGTGACTGCAGGGAGGCTTCCTGCCATCGCTGCCGAAGTCTGGCTTGTCATCCGAGCACTACGCAGAAGCCGGCAGGAGCCAAATCCCTGACCTGGTGCCTTGAGCTCCTCTGCTTCAACAGAGCAGGGAGAGGAACGTTCAAGGTCTTCCCTGTATTCACCCACTGGGGTCATACTTTCTGCTGGCACAGATGGAGTTGTGTCTATGTACAGAAATGTCTTTTTTTTGTATGTTAAACTTGTTATTGTATTCTTAGTCTTGCTGGGAAATACTAATTGTGTAATGGTGTTTGTGTGCATCCAAGGAGGGGGAGTGCAATGTGATGATCTGTCTCAACCAACCCCGACATGTTCCTGAAGCTTCGCCTTGCCTCCGGCATGTATTGTTCCATTAGCATAAGCAAGGGAACGCATGCTGAAAGCTGATGCTTCTGAAGTCATCACTGACTGTTCCTCCCAAAGCCAGTTTTATGGAGCTGTCTAGAAAACAGTGTAATTAGGAACCTGAAGGGGGAGGGGAAAAAAAGAAATCATGAGCCCATAAGGAGGTTAACAAGTTTAATTAATTTCTTTTCATGGTTCATAGAACCAATAAATGCATGAGTGGAAATATACTGCAACAAAGTTCCAATACTGCCTAAAAACTCAAATTCAAGTTCAGACTTGCACATTACCCACCTGTACGTACAGTAGTCCCCTGTGAGCACGCTTCTTCTAACTAAATGTAAGAGATGCTGAGGCCCTGTGCTCTTCCTAGGGTAACTGTGGTGTAGTTACACAAAGGAGTAAGTTGGCTCTCATCATAACAGAAAGAGTCCTCAAGTAAAAGGCTCTACAAAGTAAACTTTGCTAATCGTCATCAGTGGAGATACAGGAGTTTTTGTCCTCCCACACATACACCCTGTAGAAAGGACAGGATGTAGAATGGATTTTGTTTTGTTTTTAAGTACCAGTTTTGTTTTTAAGTACCAGTAAAAAGTACTGTAAAACAACGGAAGTGCTTTAATTCTTAAACAAAACCAGTTGACTTCAGTTGCTGGAGCAAGAAATTTGCTGTCAACAACTTGGCCCCAGCTCGCTGCACACGTGGGAGGGAGTGGTAAGGAATTGTGTGACATGGCAAGTAGGCACCACGTCTGAGAAAACCCTTTGCACCCTACTCATTTCCCAAGCTGGCTGGAGATGAAGCTGGACACCTACTCAAACAAAAAGTCATGAAAATTTGAAAGCGAAGAAAGAAACCTCCCATTTTCAAGTAATTAGTGAATAAAAATTAAGAATACCATTGCAATCCACCAAGGCAAGCATTCTTATATTTCTTGCTTCACACGGGAAGAGGGAGCAAGCACAGAAGCACGTAGGTTTGACTAAACAAAGTTCAAGTTTTGCTCATGTGGGCTTTGTGCGGTTCGTAACGGTACTTACAGTGAGCTGTTCGCATATAGGTTTGTTTCACAGCAAGTCTAGATACATAGATGCTTTGTTACCTCCCTTCTCTCTTGCTACGAGAACTGCTCACAGCAAGTCTTATTTACCACGGAAGATAACTTGCATGTCAGAACCCTCGCTTTTATTTCTGAATTATTCTATGCACGAGGCAGTATTGGTGAAGGAAATGCCTGCTGACGCTTAAAAAGTTAAAGTGCATTTTCCTCTTGAGAACAGACCTGATGGGCTGCTCTAGTACATTTTCCATCACAGGCAGCATCACAAATCTGTCCTGTCAAAGGCTGCGCTGAGCAGGGAATGGGTCACAGAACGTGCTCCAGAGAAAACGGGCCAGGTTGCCTAACAGGAACGAGGAGGAGCGATCCTCTCCCGTAGAGGAGGGAAAGCAACTGGCAGAAGTCACAGCATCCAAACCTCAGAGCTAGCCCAGGTTAAGCGGGTGGTGAGCGTGAAGCCTCCTGCAGCTCAGCTCCCGTGCTTCTGCCAAAGGCAAGTACTCTTCCTTTTAATTAATTTGTGGCTGCCTGCTTCCAGAGGTTGTAGAAGGAAGGTCAGGCTCTCGCTGCCGCTGTCATATCTAGTTGTAGGCGCTGGTCAGTCAGATCTTGGCAGAAATACTGGACTCCAGCAGTACCGCCTGCCCCAAGCCTGTCTGTTCAAACCTAGCATACAAGGACTAATTCCAACAAATGTTATTCAAAGCTACCTTCAGTTTAATGGAGTCAAACACAGAATTAAGATGATGATCTTACAAGTGACAGTTGTTTTAATCACCGTCCCTCTCTTACATACCCTCTTTTTTCAAAGTGAAAGCTAACAACCACAAGGAATTCACTCTTGGCTCTCCGCAAACCACAGACAGCAGTGCCTCCACATCTAGCCTAGCGCTGTAAACATGTCCCTGTTTCCCTGAGAGCTAAAGAAGAACTAAAATGATCTCAGGAAAGCCTGTTAAGGGGGAGTGTTCAACAGCTCTACAGCTGGGCAAAGGAACAAGTATATAAGAGCACGGTAGGAAAAATAAACTTAACTCTCAAGTTATTTGCTTGCTTTTGATCAGAGGCTGCTCCTTGCATAGTGAGCAGGATTAAAATCTTGTATTTAGTTTAGCTAAACTAATTTCAGTGGAGTAATGCTTACATAGAAAAAAATAGAAAAATCCATTAAAGTTTTGGGGAGTGTGTTCAGCTAAAAAACACAGTAAGGGTTACCTAATCTTTATAGACAAGTGAAGCTTTCATCTGATTAATAAAGGAGAATCGCATATAATCTGTCACTTTTCCTAGCACTTAGTGTGTGGCAATCGCTACCTGTTTTACATGCGCTAAAAAGCCTGTGCATCAGAAATGGTACATTTACACAAACACAAAATGCATCTGGAAAAATCCAAATCAAGGTTTGAAATAAGATAAAATCCAACAAACTCTGCACACAGTAAAGATGCTGTGTATAACAGGGCGGGGAACAGGCATTCATCCATAACACAGAGGGGGCTGAAAGTCACACCCTTCTGTATCAGAACACAGAGCAAATTCTCCTCTGAACAGCTTCTCCCGTCACAGCTGCCCCTTACGGCTGCTTCAGCACATCGCCCGTGTATTGCCTGGACTAGCAGAGCAAAGAAACCACGTACCAGTTCACCTTCAGGAGTGAATTTGATTCTTGCACTTCATAAATGACATTTCCTTTTTTACTTTTTAAAATTAGTGTTTACTTCATATTTTACTAGGGTTTTCTTTTTTCCCCCTCCACGCTTGTAGAGGCTATTTCTTTATAAATTAAGTCAGTCACTGACCACAGAGACTTCTTCCTCTTCAGGGGAAGGCGAGAATACAAACCATGCTCAACCCAGCCGCTACTGTTTCATCTCCACCCCATAGTGAGCAGTTAATAGTGTCAGCCTCCACCCAGGGGGGCCTGGTCACCACCCTTCTCCTGACCCACACACCAACATCCCTGTTAAAAGACATTTAAGACCAGGCAAGAGCTCGGTGCTAATACAAATACATGACCATGTAGGAACACGGACAGCTATTTCCTTGTGCGGCCAGTACTGCTCTCCCTCTCTCCACTGGTGAAACTCTGGTATACAATGGTTTGAGGACAGCGTGCATCCCAAAGAAAATGCATAGGTCATCTCATTCTGTGACTTAACCAACTTCATTCACCCCTGTTCTTTGACAGCAAAAGGAAGTTTAAACAGTGCTTGGTAATGAAATAAATTAATTCCTTTGTGTTTCTGCATCAATAAAGCCAAACATTGCGGGATTAAGTGAGAATGAACTAGACTAAGTCTAATATATTACTGATTCTGTGTTGACACAACAAATCACTGGTGAGAAAAGAAGTCTGAAGGAATTTCTTTACTGTCCTGACCCTGTTCTTCAGAGAATAGTGAGCTGTAGCCCCCTTACTCCATGGGGGGGAAATCCCTTCTGCATCTCCCACACTCACTGACCTCCTATGTTTCTGTTTTTCATGTGATAGTACACATGCTTTCACATCAGAGCTCTGAGCAATGTTTTCTGCCATACCTATTCTCTGTCACTCCTGATGTGGCGAAGTAACTACACTCCTTTTTCTGTGTTCTTAGGCATGCATGATTGGGCAAGAACACAACAAGGAAGGCTGAAAGAAGCAGAAACCCCAACATGGATCATCTCTAGATGTTACCATGAAAGGTGAAGGCTGAAAGCACACTGTCACTACCACCGTATGGATGAAGAGACATGGGGTGCCCCCCCCCAAATTCTGACCTTTTGTTTGTAGGCTGACCACTGCCCTGGTTCAGTGACAGAGGCAGCACCACACTGCCAGGACAGAGGAAAGTGGCTGCAAACACATAACTCCTCCTTTCTTCCCTGTTGCTCAGCCAGGCCTTCCTTCCTTTCTCCCTCTTTCAACTTCATTTTGCAAGCATAGTTGGTTTCCATTTTTGAGGCGACCAATCTCCAGGAGGTTGACCCATTTAGCAGCAATATAATCAAACTGGCCGCCTTAGTGCTGGTGGTGGTCTCCACTCCTCCTGAGCAGCTGCAGCCTGCGCCTTCACTGTCAAAGCTGGAAGAGGGGATTGTATTTCCTAATTTCCTGCAGAAGGCGAGCCTTGTCCATGTTGGCTTCTGCAAGGGCTATTTTCATGGTCTGAAGCTCCCTTTGCAACTCTGGCACTTCTTTTAACTACAAGAGACAAACAGACAAAAAACAAATCAGGAGTTTCCAAAGGTAGGCAGCAGGGCAGATCTGACTACACTGATCTGCTCAAAGAGGAAAACCAAAGCAGGAGCTTTTGAGATGAATTACACTGTGTGACACAACCACACAAAGCTCACTGACAACGTGACCCAGTTTGAATTGCAGAAGTACTTGCCAGCTGGTGCCTGCTGACTTCCATACCTGTCACTGGAGTCAGCTCAGGCTGCCAGTGATGGCTGTTTAACAGCTATTTTCTCCTAAGACTTCCCTTCACATTTCTAGGCAGAGGAACAAGACTTGCAGTGGGCAAGGTTTTTTCCTGCAAAGC